AACTTTCTGGAGTGTAACTAAACCATCAGACTACACAACAAATACCATATTTTTCTTCATAAGGCTTTCCTTCAAAAATCCACCTCCAGATTCAGAGGTGGCCACACCAATGTCCCTTTCCAATGTGAAAACCAGAATATTTAGCAGATTCACTGTGAGATGAAAAATTTGGATTTCATTCAAGTATTTACCTCCTACTTCTTCATTTTTTATGCACTTTATGCAGAGACATGAACTGTCATTGGAACTGCACTTGAAATTCAAGTGATTTATCTCTGTTCTTGGCCATTTGAAAGGAAGACTATTCAAGCACCTGCTTTTCAAACTATGAGTACCAAGCAGAGCACTTTAGACCAAGAGAAGTCAAGGGTTTAACTCACCTTTTCCAAGTGAGTTAAACAGATTCTGTGTGACGTTACTTTGCAGACACCCCCAGCCACAGCACTGGATCTTTCCTGGGGACCCACCAAGATGGGTTCTTGGTCTGAGGAACATACAAAATTAATTTCTTTATTGACACAATGATTTTCCACTAATGCTTAAAATGTTGTTGTTTTTCTTTCTGAAGGAGAAGGAGCTTGAGAGGTACCATATCCTGAATTCCTACTATATGGCTTTGTGGGGAGAAGCTGTCTTACAAGACACTTCAGTGGAATGAGATTCAGTCACACCTGGTGAGGGTCTTGCACACAGACTTTCAGCCAAGTTTCCAGCAACTGACTGACTCTACTCCTCTAAAACTGAATTTGACACAAGTATGTGTACCAAGACATTTTTTTAATGCAGCCTAGTCCTCACAGTAGGAAAAGGCCATTTATCTTCATCTTTTGTAAGAGTCAGGTGTGAACTTAACACAGATTTAAAATTCTTACTTGCCCAAGCCCCACCACTTATCCACCATTCTGTGAGCAGAGAGCAGGAATGTCCTTTCCTTTTTATAGCCAGGGCTCTTTATATTCTCCAGGAAAAGCTTTTGTGAAAGAGCTACTTTTTGTTTCAGTGAAGTGACTGTGAGCTTATGTCAATGTTGGCACTACTAATCATGATGTTGCTATATATTTAAAACAAGGTTAAAGTAGAGGAATCTTTCCTACTATTCTTTGAATGGAAAAGTATCCTGGACAGATTCCCCTGACTTTAAAAAGCACAAGGAACTTCTGAAGCAGAAATAATAGTATGTAATAATACTATGTAAGGCTATCCCAGCACTATGAACTGTGGGTATATGGAATTTCAGGGACTTACATTCTAACTCAAAAGCCGTACAAAGCTTTTCAAAAGGAAGTTCAGAACAAAGAAAATGTTTAATACAAAGATGATAGTTACTCCTAAGGTCATATTTTCAGGGTAGGTGAAGGAGGCACAAAATTTCTGTGAAAAATAACAATGAAAAAGCTAATTCATGGGCAACTTTACTTATTGCCCACCAAAAGCAATTGTGTCCTGCTAAAAACTGGCAAACTAAAGAGAAAAATTAATCCCATTTTCTTTGTGGGTTTTTGTTCTGTCAGTGTTAATTAAGGCATTAATGCAACAGAGCATCAAAAAAGTTCATTTGATGCCTTTGCAAATCATCTGGAGCCAGCATACAAAGCTGATCATTCCATTTCTCATCGTGCTTTAATCAGGTGTAAAACAAGCCTAATTGAAAGGAGGGGAGTGATGAATCACCATCTGGACATAGCTGTGCAAATTACATGCTTACCATCCTTCTCAAGGAAATGATGAGCTTCCAGGAGAAGTTTGTATCTGAACTTGGGATCCCTGATGCTCAGCCATGCAGAGTGTGGCTGGGACACAAGGCCCTTCTGTGGCCAGGCTTCCATCCCATCAGAGGTAGGGAAATGAAAGCTGTGTGCAGCAGATGAGTTCTGCTAGATGAGATAGGGCATGGCCAAGGCATATACTTTGTCCTGGAAAGACAGAAACACCCCTAAGCAATGTTTTTTTGGCATAAGTTTTGCAGTGTCCTTACCATCAAAAATGAAAGCTTATTTAGAGAACAGAGAGCTTTGTTTCCATAAGCATTTTAGAGATCTTAAAATTTTCCAAATTATGGAGTGTGTTGTACTAAATGAAGGTATATTCTTACATACAGTATAGACAGCAAAACAGACAGCAGCATCTGGCACTGTGGAAATGTAGTTTTCATCTAGATCTGGATTATCATTTGCTTATCTGGTCCCCTCTGAGCCAAAAACAATATAATAGGTCTAGGAAAACAACATAATGACAACAAGGTATGAAGATACCAGTAGAGATTAAATGGGCCAGGATTCTTAGCTGGCAAAGATAAAATTTATAGAAGAATATAAAGGAGTAGGATAATGAATGTCAAAGTGGAAATGAATGGGGGCTAGTTATTTCTTTTCTTTGCAACATAAGGACTTTAGGGCATTGAATAAAACTTACAAGTAGATGTTTTACAAGAGAAAAAACGTAATTTTTCCACACAACATATAAGTTGTGAAACAAGGCATTGCAGATTAAAATAAAGAGATCCAAGAGTGATTAGGTAAATTTGTATAAGACACATCCATTTAGACCAATCAGTCACAAATCTGTAAATATAACCTCCTGCCCAAGAAGTCCCTAAACCATAGCTTGCTGGGAGCTCTGCTGGTATTCCAGAGGATAAACAGACACAAGTCCAGACTTTACCTACTGTCCCTAAAGAGATGCCGTTTGTTTTGATGAGAATCCTGCACTCCTTGCTCAGCACAGCCAGTGATGCATTCCTAGGGCTTTTTTAGGCAAGCTGCTCAAAAAGAAACTGTTGTGGCTATAATGCTTAGGGACCATAAGAATTTAACAAATGTACTAGATCTTTAGTTTAACTGGTGCTAGGGGAACTCCATTGTGTCACAGTGATCTGCTGTAATTTTCAAAACCTCAAAATGCAAAAAGTACTTGAGTTTGTTTTTTTTTCTACTTCAGATTTTGACTGTTGCTACTTTGTTCACACGTAGAGGAAATACATGAGAAATGCAGCAGATTGGAAAGCAGTGTAACAAATAAACAACAAAGATCAGAAATATTAGAGAAAAAGGAACTCTGCATTCTCACATACATTTCCTCTGTTGATTGTACTTTATATTTGGGAGTAAGAACTGATGTAGACATGTATGTAAGTGTAGACACACACACCTCAGACTCTTCTGTCCTGTATGAAGAACAGGTGGATCCAAGATACCCACAGCTCATGTTGTATCACAGGATAAGATTAGAAAAAGAGGGAGAACATCTCACCTGGAGATAAACTAGAAGAGAGTCTTATGCAGGCAGCTCCACCCCAGACTGCATGACTTCCTGTCCCTCATGTAAGGATCCCTACTTCCACATCCACGTTCCCAAATCTTCCTCATCCACCCTGACTAACAGGAAGTTCACTGTACATGAAAACCAACACAGCTGAAGACTGGGACCATCCTTTGGGATTCCTGAACACAGCAGTACTCACCATGAATTGATCTGTGCGAGAAGTTGATGGGCAACAGAAGAAGCATTTACTGAAAAATAGGCAGGAGAATCTGGAACAAGACTTTGCATAAAGCAGAGCTCTTGAAGATTTCAGAGAGCAGACTGTGTGAGGGAGCTGAGTTGTTTTCCCAAAGGTTTTGAAGATTTTCTGCCTTCTTAATATTTGTGTGTGCAGGAAATTCCTGTGGTTTCTGCACTTATTTGCACAGGATTCACAAAAAATGCTACTCCACTCTCCAGAGAGACATTCTGAGAAGGTTTTCTGAGGGGATAAGCCTAAGCAGTGGGAATGAACGTGCAACCCACTCTCAGAAGGGTTCCACACTACATTAGGGGACTGCTAGACACTGGTTGCATGAAGGGTGCAAGACCTGTAGACTGTAGACCTGAAAACAATCACCCCTCCCAGCCCAGACTCAGCAGCACTGGTACTCAGTAATTAGAGCTTTTTGTGACAGTTTTGTGCCCATTTGGACGTAGGATCAGGGAGCCCAGGACCATAAGCAACTTCTTTGCTCTATCCACTTATAATAACCATTCTGTGTTACAGGAGATGCTCTTTGGGAAACTAGTACTTCCTAGAACCTTATCTTGGCCTTGGCATGCAGAAAAGATTCAGACTTTTTCTTTTAATATTCCCCCTGATACTAATCTACTTAAAATGCAGCTGACTTTATAGAAGTTTTTCCCACCTGCAACAGGAGGGAGATCAGAATACTTGCTTATTAAGAACATTTAAATTGTGACACACGAGTTAGAAGCAGCGAGGTGTTCTGTCATCAAAGCCGCAGTGGGTAATAGAAATTAGTTGGGGCAGAAATAGTGTGATTTGAGGGGTTTTTTACAGTGACTTAAAGTAAACTGTAAATAACTGGCTGGATAAGCAAGACTGGTGTCATTAACTACAGGGACATGGTGCAAGGACATTCTAGCAACTAATTTTTCATGACTGTCCTGTGACAACAGATTTCCTGCTTACACAGTGCTGGCTTGTCCCAGTTTGTCACAATACTTAGTGTTTTCCAGGCTCCAAAAGGAATGACAGTATGCTAAATATTCCTTTTTTCTGCAGCTAAACCAGAGAAAGAAACATATTAAAGCTTGTCATGGTGTCCCAGAGATATGTACTTTGTATTCATTTCCAGAGTGTAAACAGCCTGTTGTGCAGGAAATGTTCTAGTCTGTTTCAAAAATACCTTCATTTCACTTTCAAGTAGTTTCAGCTCCCCACCTGTAAAGCTTATAATGAGATGTGATGCTGACACCAAGGGGAACATTGGTATGAATATAAACACACTGTAGTAACTCTCATTCTGAATGTTTCTTAAGAAGGCATCTGTTTAAATGAGACATGAACGTCTGTAATGCAATATTCCCTCTATGAATAATGTAGCAGAAATGTTACAATGAATAACCAGAAAAGTGTGGGTTTCCAGCAATCCAGTTTAATAGTTTCTTCATATGTCTGTGTTTATACATCAAACAGACTTCAAACAAAACAAAAAAAGGGTAATATGCAATTCAATAAAATACCGAAAGCTATTACAGTTTTGGTTTCCCCTTAGTTGATTTACAGTTATGTACAAAACTGTCTTATTTGCAATACCCAGTAAAGATTTAATGATTTATTTACATCAGCTGGTGCCTTTCACTATGCAGTGGAACTGTCTCCTTTTGTCATTTACATTCATAGTTGCAAGAGCCAACATTTAGAGGGTATTTATGGATAGGATTAAGAGATGGACTGAAACACGGCAGGATTCTCACTACTCACCACCAACATTCTCTGAAATCCCATTTTCAGATATAGCTGAAGGAAGACTCCAGTCCCTAGTGCATTGATATAGCCAGTATATCAGCCAGCATAATAAGGTATCTCCAAAGAGAATAACATTCCCACTCATGTCAGAGGGAGCTATATGTGAGTTGAAGGAATAGTAAATTTTAAACAGACAAAATTTATAACCCTGATGCTAAAGGTACGCCTTACTTCTGTCAGAAACCTCCTAAGTAAATGAAGACATAAAGTAGGCTCTCAGTGTGTGGAGGGGAATATTTTCCAGGGTTTTTTTTTACACAGAAGATAAAATTAGGAGGGGAAAAAATATAATTTTATCATAATGTGCAAACTGTGTCATAGAATCACGGAATAATTTGTGTTGCAAGGCAGCTGTGGAGGTAATCTGCTCCTAGTGGTTCAAAGCAGGGCTAGCTTCAAAGTTAGAGTCAGCTTTCAATTTAGCAAAGATTTTTCAGGACCATGTCCAGTCAAGTTCTAAAAATCTCTAAGATGGATTTTGCACAACCATTGAGCACCTGTTCATATATTTGACCACCCTTATGGCTAAAAAAAATTCCTAAAACCCAATCAGGACTTTCACCTTGAAAGTATAACCTAACACTCATGGAATAAAACATAAACCTTCTATTGATAAACAAGAGTTTTACAGCATGTATAAACCAAGTGTAACAAGCATTATTCTTTCAGATTTCAGAATGAAGGGTTTGTTTTTTCAAGATATATTCGGATAGCTAGTCAGTAGCTTACCGCCACTTGAAATCTTTTCTTAACTTAAATCACAGCACAAGATATGCACCATTCATGGTCATTAAGAAATACCACAGTTGCACTTCCTCCCTCTTTTGTAAGCCCAGTATTTTGCACGTTACACAGCTGTTGCAGAACAGCAGGTTTATGAAAGCATGACTAGATGCAAGCTACTCACACAAAAGGCATGGGGGTTTCAGCCTAGAATCCTCTCAACTAAGAGGAAAACTGTTTGTTTGGGGAGCAAAAGTCAGGACTCTGTTATAGCTACATGTGCCTAATGTTTTGAAATCCTTTTTTTGCCATTGCCCACCATGCCTTTTGATTATCAAACTTGTTTTGTCTCTCCCAACTTGAAAGACCCAATCTACAGTAACACAAGCTCTTCTCAGCCAAAAGGCCTTTCTAATGTCTATAAAAAGGCAGCCATTCACTCAGTCTTTCCATCTCCACAAAACATTGCACAAATATCTACTGGCTGTGTTCCCTTTGCTTCCCTAGCCCTGGCAAATAAAGAAAACAAACAAAATAGAATGAGCTCGATCTTCATATTCAGCCTTAAAAGCCACCTATGGTACATCTTGCTTCACAGTGATTTGAACATATATATAGTCATATACGACAAAGTGCTTAATCCAGCCTGGCAAATGTTATGGTAACATTGGCTTCTTACACTGTACATGTTTTATGACAGTAACAGTCATGACTGGAATACAAGACTGCTGATATGTGCATGTATAATGATCATAACTGCTGACCAAGGTATGTGGAGCTTGATCATTGGAGCTCCTGCTCTAATTTTATGTCTTCAGAAGGAACATTCCATATTAATTCTGGGCATCAAAATAAGCCATGCTTGTTTTTATCTAGAGAGAGGGCGGGTTTTTTGGTTGTTTGGTTTGTTCTGGTTTGGTTTGGTTTGGTTTGATTTGGTTTGGTTTGTTCTGGTTTGGTTTGGGTTTTTTTGTCTAGAAAGACAAACACCAAAAGAAGCACACATTTGAGAGGCTGGTGGGTTCATTCACATGACAGAACTCACTCATTGCATTTAGCAGAAATAAAAATAAGGTTTTGCCTGTATAATCCTCTTAAATTCCAATCTTTAATAGTGTAAATGAGATTCAAAATATTCTTTATCCCCGTAATACAGATGCACTGAGTAGCTCCAACCACCAGCATGAGAGAGGTGTGTGGAGGGAAAGAAATGTAAAATCATGCATTAATAAAGGGTTTCTGATTGCTGTGGGAATCATGAGAGCTGAATGTTCCATAGGCATTTCACCAGAATTACAGGATGCAGGAAGATGTTGCCTTACCATTCTCTTCCCTGGTTTGTTTTTGTTATCTTAATATTTGTTTGATAACCCACAGAGCATTCTCAGGCTATAGCAACAAATTATCTCTTTGAAGGTCTTCCTCATTTCCTGGCTACGAAAGGCGTAGATCAAGGGGTCAATCACCGAGTTGCACATGATGAGAATGAGGTACATGTTGAAGTGAGACATGAAGCAAACACAGTAGAGGTTTTGAGGGCAGGAGATCATCAGGATGAGATGAAGGAAGAATGGAGCCCAGCAAACAATGAAGATGCCAAGAAGCATAGTCAGAGTGATGGCTCCTTTCATGCTGGTTCTTTGATGGACAGAGTTGTACCCAGGCAAAGCAGCAATTTTCTTCACATGAGTACGAGCCAGGAGGAACATATGGATGTACAGTGAGACCATGAGGAACAACATGGTAAAAAACATAGTGATGAGACAAATGACCACATAAGTTGATTCATAATAAAGGATGAAGATAATGCCACAGCCCGTGCAAAAGGTCCAGATGCATGCAATAATAAGCCCTGATCTTTTCACTGTCATGATGTTGTGATAACGCAGGGCATAGAAGATAGTGATATATCTGTCTACTGCTATAGCCAGCAAACTGCACATGGAAGCCACCACAGATATGCAGATCATGGAATCAAAGACATTGTCTATATGACGGACAAAGGCATCTTCCATAATGATGTGTCTATTGTTTATTAGGTATATGGTTATGGTCTCCCAAGCATTAGACACACTAACCAGCATGTCAGCCACTGCTAAACTGCAAACAAAAAAGTACATGGGTGAGTGCAAGTTCTTGTTCTTAACTATTGCACATATAACTAAGATGTTTTCAAGGAGGCTTACAATGCCCAGAGCTAGGAACACCTCAGCTGCGATGACCACTTGCTCACATGGCGATGACTTGCTCTTTGCAGTAGGCACAGTAAAGTTGCTACTGAAGGCACTCAGGTTTAGTTCAGAAACATAGAATTGAGAGGACGTGTTCATCTCTGGGAGCTAACACGTTCTGTTCCTTCTGAAGGGCTTGCCAAGGAGTGTGGTAAATGCATTTTCCAAAAAGCAGAAGATCCTGCCTAAAAAAAAAAATAAATATACAGCATGAAGATTTACAAGCAGAAGCTGACAACATTAATACCAGCAATTTCTATTTAATTTGGCTTGCACATGTCCCACCTCTTCCACCACATTCCTGCACTGATTCTAAACTAAACTTTGGTTAGCTCAGAGATTTTCTATCTATCCTTACTGGGAAATTAAAATCACAACCTGATGAAAAAATTAATGCACTCTTCAGTCATAGTTTTGTTTATTCTGTCTGGTTCCCTGGAATACTTCCCCAGAATGTCCTGGAAATTCTGCTGAAAAAACAAATGAAAAACAGTTTTCCCAGACCCCAGAAATGCAGGAGGATGTAGTATTAAGTCCAGCAGAAACTGCTCACTTGAATACAATATAAAGAAGTTTCTATTATTGACACAATAAAGAATTGAACATTTTCAGTAAAATATTTAAATGCTTTCCTGACCTTTGTACATTTAATTTGGCATGAACTGTATTATAAACAGCCTATCTGTACAATGTTAACATGCTTATTTAAAAGCATGGTATTAAACACCTAACCAAATCCATGCACTTCAGGATATGATAAGGTGACAGAATTGTTATGGATAGAATTCTATTGTAAAAGTAGTTTTCTCTTCCAAATTAAGAATATTTTATTCAATAGTTTTCTGGTAGTGACAATATTTAGGGAAAGTTTTAAGTCATTTTTAACAAAGGGAACATGTAGAGCTGATTGTCAGTGACTTGTTGCAAATAAAATTCAAAGCACATCATGCTAAACAATTTTCAGTTTTAAAACCCACTTCTTATTTTCAATCAAAAATGAACTGTACCTATTTACCAGAGCTGCTCCTTCAGCTGCTTTTCCTCTTCATCGTCTGCAATGTTTCCTCCGGAGAGCTGAAGTTTCAGCCCCCCTGACATCTGGGGCTGGGGACTCCTTGGTGGCAAAAGATGAAAAAAAAATAGAGGGAAAGGAATTAGTAAATCCATAGAGTCAAAGCTGACCACGTATAAATTACTTACTGTGCAACTGCCTTTTTATAGACTCCAAGCAATAATGACTTCAGTACTCAAACTGTGGCTCCTCCTCCCCTTCTTTGCCCCTCTGGACTTCTCTTTCCACAGATTTCATAGCAAAGGCTTGGGTTTTTACCACCATCTAGTGGCCTTCTCCTCTCTTTCTAACTGAACAGGGAGTCTGATCTGAAATTCATTATGGGCTTTCTATAACATTAGAGGGGAAAATGTACTGGACGTGCTCCTTTCCTTCATTTGTTTTCTTTGCTGTTTCTAGTACACTAAGTTCATCCTGCAATTGTACTACAAAAGAGGGGAAAAGACTGTTATTGAAGTGGGAGACTTATTACTGTTCTAAATTTTTTTCTCATATTCAGCTTTGCTGGGTTTTTTTCAGAAATAAGAACCCTACTGTTACAAAACTTAGAGAACATACAGTCAAAGCCACCATGCCACTAATAGAAAATATATTTAAATAATCTGTATTATAAACAATTGAACAGATAAACAGCTGTGTTCTGTACTCCTTGCTAGAATAGAGATTTCAATGTAGAAATGGAAGGAGCAGGGTATAATGCCAGGAGCCCAGGCCCCCTGAGATGGGTGCAAATTCCCCCAGGGGCCCAAGAGCTGTTAAACTCAGTGCTCAGTTTTCTAGTGGCTGAAGTTCCTCTGTGAGTCTAGCAGTCAGGCATCCAATGCTCCTTCTGGGCCTTACCCAAAAGGTGGCAAAATCAGTTCAAGTCTTTAACAAATGGTCTCTGATTCCAGGTGCAGGCTGGGGAATGCAAAGCACACGCCTTCCTGACACTACCAAATGCTCTTCTTAGCTGCTAACCAGACAGTCAGATACCGTGCAGGATGCAAAGTTAGCTTGACACAGGAAGTCTCTGCTTCTCCAGCTCACCACTTTTCCAAAAATTAGTGGCTTGAGTTTTTTTCATGGTGTATAATAGATTCAAATGCTTCTTTTTAACCTATAGCATTTTTGTTAAAGCATTACCAGCAACAAATCCTACTTTTATTGTTATATTCTGTGCCACTTTTGTGTTTTCTGTGTTCAGATAAGGTTTATCATTGAAAAGCAGATAAATCCCCATTTCTGATTATTATATTCCAAAAGAGATTTCTCTGTTGTCACTGCTGGCTTCACTCTAACCCTTCACTCTAGGGATCCAGAAACACCTGAAATACATGAAATGTTTTCATGTACAAATAGTCCCTGCACCAAGGGTGACAGTGAAAAGCATTTTTTTATCATTTTTAGTTAAATGGCTCTTTTAGCATCATAGAGTTATATAATCAGGAGATTAACTTTGCCTATCCCTTCTCTCCAGTACTGGAAAGGGAATTTAGATTATCACAAACTAGAGGTCACAAACTATGCTCAAGTGCAGCTGTTAAATCTGAGTGGATAATGCCAGCTGCTGAACACACACACTCCCTGCTCTATCTCATTTATGTGCCAGTTCTGAGCTCTTAGTTCTTTGCTATGACCAAAAGAAAATAATAAAGATCATCTGCAGTTCTCTTTCTGTTCTTTAATATAAAGTATGTTTTTAGTTAACTTTGGTTATCTTTTGCATAGCTTTTGATTTTTCCACTGCAGATCCTGGAAGTCAGATACCTAACTGTAAAATTTTACTTGTTCCTGTGTTCTTATATCTAGCAAGAACTGTGCAGACATTGTACCCTTTCTCCTTCCAATTATTTCTCTTGCAGTGTCCCAATGAGGTTTTTGTTGTATATGACATTGTCTCTTGTTAAATTCTGTTCTTCCCATTTACAAATCCCTCTGTATGTTCAGTTTAATTAAGTTCTTTGCAGCGCAGCTTAACTTCTTTACAAAAGTTTTCAGTGTACCTGGTAGGGCTCAGCAAACCAGCCAATTGCAGGAAACAAATTACACATCAGACTGGGTGGTTTGGCTGTTATTCCTTACAGCAATGCCAAGTTTCTTACATATAAACTATGCATCAGCATTTGGGTTCTTGTTCCACAAGCCTGGCATAACAAGAGATGCCAGGGCCTCTCTCAGTTCCATGCCATTCTTTTCAATTGTGAGGTGGTGAGAGAGAGCAGAAGCCGCTCCAGATACATATTTACCTCTCAGGCTTTGTCAGCAGCCAGATTGGGAGCCATGACAACTTCACTGGCAGAAACAGCTGGGCCCTGCTTGCCATCAGCACCACCAGTGATCCCAGGCAGTGCTCCTCTTCACCCTGCACATCCACTGGAACTGCACTGACACACAGGGCAAGTTATATCATGTCAAAGCCAGCAGGAAATTGCCACCTGCATGATAACAAGATACTGATTTTATCAATTGCTAATACATTTAAGCAGTTAAATTCCTTCTGTATCCTTCTGTAGCTCTTTTTATCTATTTGATGAAAATATCTTTGTTCTGCATAACTTAACTGAGATTAGTGCTCTTGGCCTATTTACAAAATCCCTCTTCTGTCTAATTCTTGCTTATGTTGTCATCAGCATAATATTTCAAAGTCACAGAGGATCCTTCCAGACTGCTCTAAGAGAAAACCTGTGGATGAACCAAAAGGGAAGATCATGGCCGTCTCTGCATTCAAACCACATAACAAATGTTCTTTAATTTCTCAGACTGAGAAAACTATTTGTTCTGGCCTGTGTACTGAGTAGCCTTGTTTGAGCCCCATCAAGGTCCCCACTGTTAGCTGCTCAGCATTACAATCAGTTAGCCTTTAGTAAAGACAGCCAATTAATTGAGAATTGAGATTAAAAAAAAAAAAAAAGGCATCATTACTTCTTGTCCTGAAATAAAAAAGCTGGATGAAGTGATGACAGACTGTCAGTATTTCAGTCCCCTTGCCTGTCCAGGGCATGTCTGAAAGCCTAAAAGTTAGACTTTGCAGTAAACAGTGGCATAGTGAATACTTTCTTTTACATCATGGCCCTAATCTTCAAATCAACATCTGATTTATTTTTTTTTCCAGAAAGAAAAGGAAGTCTGAAAAACAGCATCCAAATATCAAGCAATCTGTGCCCTGTTAAAGGGTAGGATCAGCCATACTTAGTATTGACAGCACTAGTACTTTTGGCCATCAACCTTTTCATCTGAGTCCTTCAAAATGGTTTGAGATAGTCTCTGGCCACTCTCAGTTAGTACCTATTAGTGGTGCTTCTTGCATTAGAGCACAAAACTGAGAGAGATGCAGTACAGTACAAAAGGCATTAAGAAAGATTTATCCTAACAACCTAAAAGGGATGATGTTGTAACCAGCCTCCCAAACTGTAAAAGAGTAATAGGAGGTTTAGGAACCATCATATTTACGTGACACTCACTGGAGCAATGAATGAGCTAAGCTTTTGTTAGAGGATGGGTCAGCAGTATAGACCTGGTGAACCAGAAGTGCCAGCTGCAGTCTCCACAGAGCACAGATAACCAGCAAGAGACTGTAGAAATTTTCTGACAGAAAAGAGAGACGATTCCATAATCTACAAACAGACTGGGATAAAGAAAAAAACCAAACCAGCAGATGCTGATTTGATACTTTGTTGTGGGAGGACTGGTTGAGACCCCAGAGTAATGTAAAACCCTCTGAAGGACCTTAGCAAGTTGGAGAGATGAGAAGAGAAGAGCAGTCTGAAATACAAGAAGGAAATGCAGGGTCTTTCTATCAAACACATTGTGCTCTGCTTAGATCATCCTTCCCCACTTTATTTTAGTACAAAGTATATGCTCAAATCTATTTTATTTGAGTGTAAAGAGGCATACATTCCTCAGAATGAGTGACAAAATTCCAATTTCTGATTTTTTTAATAAACTACTGGTCTAAAGAGATCCCTTGAAGAGCTGCTCACTTCCATCTTTCCTCTGGATATGGAGAGGAGCACAGCCTGAACCCTTCCCTGGGACCAATGTGCTCCCCATCCTGGCTTGGCTGCTTGGTTTGAGCAGAGAGACTTGACAACTCAGTGTCTCTTTGTCCTGTGCTGTCTCTCTAGTCAGGTGTTGGCATTTTAGCACAGCATGAATATGGAAAGGTAACCAAGCAGCTGAAGAAAAACCTCAAGGAGATGCAGAGTGAGAATAACCCTTAATTCTCTATCTCAAAAAGAGACATTGAAACACACAGAAAACTGCAGAAGCAGTAATGTGTCCATGCTGCTCCTATCAAGGAAGTGCAAATGTCTCCGATTCCATGCACATGATAACCAAGCATAGATCCATATGCTACACAAGCAATTTTCAAGAACACCCTGGCAACAATATCAACATTTGTCTCTTTAAAAGTAGTGTTCAGTGCTAATCTAACATCTCTGTACTGATATGTAGGTTCTTTCCTCACTCTCTGTTCAGGTTGGCAAAAAATGCAGCTGCTTCCTATTTAACAAGGTGTCTAAGTGCACCAAAAAGGAGAATTAAATAATAGCCATTTAGCTCAGAACTCATTTTTTTTCTGTCAGTCTCTTACTACACTGTGTTTTCTGATCTTCATGGCAATGAAGGCTTGCAATAAGCAGTATCTTGTTATGTCAGGATTTTTTTTTAATCACTGTATCCTAACAGAAAAAAAATAAGCAGTATTATTTCAGAAGTGAGAATTATTTTTTCCTTCTAATATTCACCTGCTAAGGAGTGAAAGGGTGGAGTATTGCCATGGCTGAAGTGAAAGCTGCCAAAATTAAAAAAGGTAAATTACATGAGCCAGAAGCAAAAATGAAAGTAGTTCAATATCAAATGTGAAACCAGAATATCTTCTATACTGCAGTAACCAGTACATGCAGTTGTACTATTGAGAACTTAAATCAGTTTACAATAATACATTGTCCTCAAAGGTAAGCTGTTTGCTGACATACAAAAATCAAGTGACTCTCATGATCCTCCCAGATTCCTGTCATTTAAGATTTCAAGCATCCTTATCCCTCACAAAAGCAGGAACCATGTGTCCTGATGCACTTGGTGTCTGATCCAGTATTAAAAGTGAAGCAGAACCTGAGAAAAGTCATACTG